GCGAATTCCCTTCTTACAGAGCTCCCCCCAGGAAACCCCAGTTGTTTCCCATCCTGGCAGCCCCCCCTCAGTCCCCTGATTCTATGCCCTGGTATTATGCCACTTCTAGCTTTTCAACCCCCCCTTTGGGGAGCTATCAGTGCCTTGGGTGACTTGCAGGGAGCCCTGCGCTGCGGCGTACATGTCACCCTGGGTTACCCTATAGGGAATGTTTTATTTACAGCCTCCTGACATCGCTTCTTGACCCCCCCTTGATCTCTTCTTCCCCACTTCCCCATCAGCTTGGTTCTCCCAGGTTAACTCCTCCCCTGTTTGTTTTATTTTTCTTCCTGCTATTCCGTTTAATCCCTCCTTGTGCTGCCTGGCTCAGCAAAAACTCATCAGACCATGTGGCAAGTTTCCAACCCCAAAGCGAAGCAGCCACTGCAACAGTACAAGCTAAGGACGTCACTGCCCTGTCCCTGTGCATTTGTACAGCTCACCTCGAGAAAAGATCTCCTACACGGTAGAATTAAGTCAGGGCATATTTTGTACTGTCCAGAGGCAAACTGTTGAATGTTTTTTAGAGTGCCAATAATTATTTAAAAAAAAATAAAACCAAGGGCTCGTCCGGGATTTGAACCCGGGACCTCTCGCACCCAAAGCGAGAATCATACCCCTAGACCAACGAGCCACATAGAAAAACTGCAGCTGAGTAAGTACTTGAGAGCTGTGCTTAGATAACGTAATGTATGAGGGTTTTGCTTTTTAGAATCATTCACACTTTTCTTCCATTCTCTTGCTCCAACTCACTTTCGTCTCCCTCTGCCAACACTTCAGCGCCCAGTTCTGCTCAGGGATTCAGCTTTCAACGAGAGATAATTGACTTTAATTCATTTTTTCCCTTTAATCCCTTCCCCGCTCCAGTCATTCATTCTTTCTTTCCAACAACATAAGTGAAAAACTTATCACCCATCTGATCTGCCAGTGGTTCCTAAATTTCTGGTAACAGCTGTAGAGAGCAGCAGATTTTTATCCTACTGATTTCCCCCCCCCCCTCCCTTTTTTTTTTTGGTAATGTAAACTGAGGCAGCAACTGCTTCCAGTTAAAAACCTTCTTCCAAAGGAAAAGGGATTATAAGGTACTACTTTTTAAAATCCATGATTGCAGGTGCTTAGATGATCCAACATTATATCTCTCTAGCCTTTCTAAGAATTTACCATTTGCAGTGTTGCCCCAAGGATATTAGAGTGACAAGATGGGTGAGGTAACATCTCTTGTTGGACCAACTTCTGTTGGTGAAAGTGACCTGAAGAATAGCATTGCTTCAAAGTTTATCTAGTCACTTTGCTTGTTAACTGGTGGTTCATCAAGACACCGGTTGACATTTGAAAAAAGTCAAGGAATGTGACTGATCTCCTGGAAAGCGAGGTAAAAGCTTTTGTTGAAATAAATAAATAATTTTTAAAAATGAAATGAAGGGAGAAAAAAAAGACAACAGCAGGCCCCAGCGAGATTTGAACTCGCGACCCCTGGTTTACAAGACCAGTGCTCTAACCCCTGAGCTATGGAGCCTGTAGCTGAAAAGCCTTCTTCTGGATTGCTCAGAATGGTAAAGATCTTTTGACCTGTGCTTTGTTCAGGATCTGGATCAATGTTCTGACCCCAATTAAAAGTATCTTGATTCACCAGGAGTCGATAACAATGTAAAGAGTGTGATCACTGCAGCTAGATTTGCATAAAAAGTCTCCTTTGGATCGTCCTCCAAGCGCTGCCGCCAGCTTTAAGAAACAAACAGGAAAAGGGACTCGCCACATGCACACTGCTGGCCAGCTGGTCCTATCCCTGGAAAACATGTGTGGTAACGCTACCACCTGCTGTACTGAATATGTATTGCACCCTGAAGGTTGTCTAAGTTAAATACAGTTTGCCAGAAGTGGAAATCAATAGTTTGCAGTGTTGCTGTGTGTTCACTGCACTTTATTTGCATACAACAAATGCAGCAGATCATATGTCATCCCATTAATTGCTTGGCACTTTTCTTTTTTTTTCCATAGCACTAACCAAACTTTGATTAAAGAATGTATTAAATGGATTAGATGTATTAAATTGGTGATGGATAATGGCATTGTGATAGCCAGGAATAAAATCCAGGATCCTGTTTCCCACTCCCCTTTTCTAACCCATATACAATACTGCCTTTGCCTAGATGTTTGCTGCATATGCATGGTGTAATCAATGGCCTCCAACATGGAATGCACTTACATTTCTACATTGTGCAATAATGAGAAGCAATATACTCTGAGTACTGTAATATACTCTAAGAACTCTGTCTGAGTTCTACCACATCAGAAGAACCAGAAGTTGAGTATTATTATATAGAATTTACATTACAGTAGGTTTAAAAAAACCCAGGATCAGGACCCATGTGTGCTGGGTGCACTGTACCTCACTGAGAGCCTTTACTTGATGCAAAGAAGAAGAATCAAGTCCACAAAATCCATGCAGTTATTTCGTCTCGCTCCCCTTTCTTGTAGACGAGCACCATCATAGACTTCTTCCAGGAGCTGGGAGTACAGAGGAACTGTTTGCATTTGTTGAAAATGGCAGTTAGTACCAGGCAGCCAGGGTCTCATTTTTTCATGAAGTTGTAGCGAATGCCATCTTTCTCCTGAAATAGCGTGACTCTGGGTAGGTAGATGGGGCTTTGGCACAACATCCAGTATCCATAGGCGCCGACTTCTGCTCTCGCCGTGGGTGCTCAACCTGCCTCTGCCCCCAGCCCTGCCCAGACTCTACCCCTTCCATGAGGCCTGGCCCCTGCCCCACCCCCTCCCACCTCTGCCCCACCCCCATTCCAACCCGTTCCCCAAAGTCCCCGCCCCAACTCCGTCCCCTCCCTGCCCCTATTCCGACTACTTTCCCAAATCCCAGGCCCGGCCCCGCCTCTTACCTGCCTCCTCCCCTGAGCGCACCACGTTCCCGCTCCTCCTCCCCTCTCCTGGAGCAGCCAAACAGCTGTTTGGCAGCAGCAGGGCAGGAAGCGCTGAGAGGTAGGCGGAGGAGGCGGCGGTGGCGGTGGGGGGGAGGAGAGGGGAGCTTGGCTGCCGGTGGGTGCACAGCACCCCTAATTTTTCCCCATGGGTGCTCCGGGGCTGGAGCACCCACAGAGTCGGCGCCTATGCCAGTATCAGCAGACTGGTGATAAGATCACAAGCATTGGCAACCTTGGGAACTCCAACTCATTGCTTTCCACTTGAGAAGAGCTTGAATGCTCATTGGATTCACGCTTCGCTAATAGACTTTCTGGATGTCAGTAATGAGTGAAAAATCATTGTAAACATTATCATTGCCAGTCTCTTCTCAATTGGCCTTTGTTTTGAATGACTTTGTCCAATTCTGTCCCATACGTCTCTCTGTAGTCATAGAGCTTGTCTAAGATTATTGGGCCTTGTTCTTATTTTGGTTTTTAGTTAAGTTCTTCATCTCTCTAGTACAGAATGATGATGATCTTTTGACCTGTGCTTTGCTCAGATTGCGATCAATGTTCCGAACCCAACGAAACATATCCTTATTCACCAGGAGTTGATGGAAATATACGGAGAGTGATCTTTGCACCTAAATACACATAAAAAGCATTTGTTGGATCTTCCTCCACGCTCTTCAGCCAGCTTTAAAAAAGAAACAAGAAAAGGGACTTACGCCAGCTGCAGTCGGCCCACCAGCTGGGTCTTTCCTTGGAAAAAATCAGTGGAAATGCTACAAGCTGCTGCACTGAGTGTGTTTTGCACCCTGGAGGTTGGTTAAGTTAAATATATCTCCCCAGAAGTGGAAATTAATAGTTTGCAGTGTTGTGTGTTTGCTGGACTTTATTTGCATACATCAACTACAGCAGATCATATGTCATCATATTCATTGCTTGACACTTTACTTTTTTTTCCAAAGCACTAAGCAAACTTTTATTAAGGAATGTATTAAATGCATTAGATGCATTAATTGGTGAGAGATTATGTCATTGTGATAGCCATGAATGGAATCCAGGATCCTGTTTCCAAGTCCCCTTTTCTAATCCATACACAATACGGCCTCCGCCTAGATGTTTGCTACATACGCATGGTTTACTCAGTGGCATCCTTCATGGCATGCACTCACATTTCTACATTGTGCAATAATGAGAAGCAATATACTCTGTCGGATTCATTTAGGATTTTATAGCATGCTGATCACTCAAGATAAACCTGAATAACACTTTTCTGAGGGACCAAAAATTGAAATTAATACCATTCCCCACATCCCTAATTTTCATTCATCTCTGCTCTCCTTGGCTCTAGCTAGCACCAGTGTGACAACCACAGAAATACTATGAAAGATAATATTCCCCTATCTGTCATATATGGTCCCCATTAACATAGTATCCAAATACCTCTCAATCGTCAATGTATTTATCCTCAGAGCACTACGGTGAGGAGTTCAGTATTATTGCCTCTTTACAGATTGAGAACAGTAACACAGAGAGATTGAGTGGTCCAAGTTCACAAGAGGAGTTTGTAGCAGAGCAGATAAGGGCTGCCATGTCTCTTTCATTTCATGCTAGTGTTCTTATAACTGCACCATCCTCCCTTATGCTCCTAGGGCTATTTTCAACCTGTCTTGGAGCCTGAAATACTGAGGAAAGTCTATTTGCATGAAACTCATTACCCAGGTTTTCAGATTCAGGTTGTTAGTCTCTATAAAGTTACAACATAACAAGGTGTTTTCCAGACAGAACTTCTCACCGTGCTGAAGTTTTCCTGTATAAATACTTAAGTCTGGGGGCTTCTAATAAAAATAAATTATGAGAGATATTCCCCCCACGGAAGAAAGCCAGCACAAGACCGAAATATCACTTTCATCCCATTTAAGCCCAGTTTTAAATGGTGTATAATCCTTGGGTCTGGGCTTGACTTGATCGTATGGAAAATATATGAGGCCAATTCTGAATAATATCAAATGAAAGCAAAATAAACGTTCATAGAGCGCCTTCAGATTTTATTTCTACTACAAGGCCTTTTGATAATCAGTGAGCTTCCAAGCCCCATCATGGAAAGAATTATTTGCCATTGACTTTCAAACAACTTACACATCAAGAGATACAGAAGAGGTGCATGGGTCACACAAATAGGACTAGCATCTAGCCTTCAAATAAAGACAACAATCAGAGGCTCCCACTAAGGCCTCTGCTACTATAGGGAAACTGTTAAGCAATTGCTGGACTGGTGCAGCTCCAGTGATGGAAGCTGCAGTTTAGACAAGGCTCAGCTGTTTCCAGCAGCGTTAGACCTGGCTTGTATTAGAAAAGTTGCAACAGTTTAACTATATGGATTTATGATTGATCTTGTTAGACCAGAGCAAAACCCCCAGTATTGATGCATATAAACCAGAGCAGTCCTTATTTAAATTGGTTTGGCTTAAATGTGGTAATTTACAAGTCCTTAGACCCGGTCATATTGCTTTTGCCCTGCTAATCTTTGTCTACACTGGCAGTTTTCTGAAAATCTCCCCTCATTGCACCCGCCCTGGGGCCTGATACAAAGCCCACTTAAATCAACTGGAGTCTGTTTATTGATTTTAAGGCGCTTTCGGCCCAACCTCACGGATTGCAAATGTAGATCAACTGCCATGTTGTCTGGACCTGTTCTGGTCAGGGCTAGATCACCTGATCGTGAAAACACAAGCAACTGCCTAGGCTAGCTAGCTAACTACCTAGCTATTGCATTAATGCCATGCTCATCTTCATGGTTTCTGGCTGCTTTTTCTGTGAGGGGCACCTGGGTAAGTCTTCAGTGAATTGTTTTGCAAGTTTCAGGGACACAGTTTAATGTAGGTGATTGTGGAGCAGACGGAAAAGAGGGGGAACACCCTCTCATTGAAGGCAACATTAAAGGTAAACATGTGCTGCATGTTCTCAGCGTTGTAGAATGACACTTCTTCCCCTTCATAGTCCAGGTAAACTCGGACCTTACTGAGCCTCTCACCAGTGCAAAGCGGGGTGCGTTGAGGGGAGGTGACAGCCCAGTAGCGCCCTCCGTTTTGCTGCACTGCCCAGATCCCCTCCTCGGGGGAAAACTGAGTCAGACCTTTCCTCCTCACCGACTCCTTGGCCACCCCAAAAGCCCAGCCATCTGAGGCCCCCACTTCCACCTCCCAGTAATGCCTTCCCGACTTGAATCCTTCCAAAGCCAGCACCCGGGAGTTAGTGTCGAATCGCTTGGGGTTGTCAGGCAGCTCCTGTTTTCGGCATCCCATCCTCACACTCTTGAGATCTGTGGATAGGATGAGCAGCTGGTTGGCTGTATCCGGATCCAGAGTCAGGTCCTCTGTGGATAATAATAACAACAATGTAGAATTACTAGCAGAAGGAGAAATGATGCAAACCCCATGTAAATGATTAGCAATTTTATATCTGCACTGGAAGCTTGATTTCATAGGTGCCGACTCCATGGGTGCTCCAGCCCTGGAGCACCCACAGAAAAAAACCAGTGGGTGCTCTGCACCCACTGGCAGCCCCATGGGTCAGTGCCTCCCCCTCTCCCCAGCACCTCCTGGCTGCCGGCAGCCCCTCCCATCAGCTCCTCTCCTGTCCTCCCAGTGCCTCCCGCCTGCCATGGATCTGCTGTTCTGTGGCATGCAGGAAGCGCTGGGAGAGAGGGGGAGGACTGGGGGCAGAAAGAGGTGGGGCAGGGGTGGAAAGAGGAGGGGGAAAGGCTTGGAGGAAGGGGTGGAGTGGGGCAGGGCCTGGGGCAGAACGGGGGTCGAGCACACCCCAGCAACTCGGCAACTACACTTGATTTTATGAATGACCATTTTTCCCAGTGAGGGTAGAAGTGGGAAATCCCATTATGATGGTGATGTCAATGAAGAGCTTGTCCTTGTATGTTCTGATGCCTTCAGTGCTCTGGAAATCACTTTGCTGTGGTTTGAAGGACTAGAAGAAAGCAATGAAGTGCCCCCTGTTGCATCTTTTGAGAGGTGCGTTTTTATGAACTTTTCGATGTTATGAATGCCTCACTCCCTAATTAGTTTGTAAAACAAGGGTTCTGCTGTAATAAAAAGCAACTGATACTTAGGTCAAGTTTTTCAAATTTGGGGTGCCTCCAGTTCCTGGAGCCTCCAGTCCAAACTGGTTCCTAGTTGAGATGATTCAGATCTGAATTTGCAGCTCCCACTGGCTTCAGCTGGATTTGTGGTGGCTCCGCACTTCTAAAAATGAGACCACTTACATATTTAGGTGCTCAACATGAGACGCCTAAGGTGCCTGACACCCCATCTTCTAAAAACCAGAACCTCTTAAAAACTGAGTATCCTTAGAATACCTACCAGTCGGTGTTGAAAATCTTGGCCTAAACATATCTCAACCTCAGATTGGATTCAGATGGGTCTTAAGGAAGAGGGTAGATAAAATGATGCTTTATTCACAAAGTCAGGCTTAAAACAATCAGATAGATTAAGGGTATGTCCACACAGCACAAAACCTGTGGCTGGCCCATGCCAACTGACTTGGCCTCGTGGGGCTTGGGCTGTTTCATTGCTGAGTAGATTTCTGGCCTTGGGCTGGAGCACGAATTCTGGAATCCTCCCACTTCATAGGGTTCTAGACCCCTGGCTCCAGCGCAAGCACAGATGTCTACACAGCAGTGAAACATCCCCGCAGCCTGAGCCCTGCGAGCCTGAGTCGTCTGGCACGGGCCAGCCGTGAGTGTCTAGTTGCTGTGCAGACGCACCCTGTCACCTGAAATTGTGACTATAGCCAGCAAAGTTGTGAGGTGAAAATGGCATGTTCTCAAGCAATACAGCTTCCTCCCATGAATTGTCAAGTTGTGTTAGCATAAGAACATAAGAACGGCCGTACTGAGTCAGACCAAAGGTCCATCTAGCCCAGTATCCTGTCTTCTGACAGTGGCTAATGCCAGGTGCCCCAGAGGGAATGAACAGAACAGGCAATCATCAAATGATCCATCCCCTGTCACCCATTCCCAGTTTTTGGCAAACAGAATCTGGGGTTTTAGGAGCATTAGGGATTTGGCTTCCAAGGCCTAAATTCCCTCACGCTTCACTGAAAATCCCAGCTTTTCAGTACCACAAAAAAGGGCCTGAAATTTCCCAATGAATTTAAATAGACTTCATCTTTGTCCTCATGAATGAAACCTTGGCCCCACTGAAGTCAGTTACAAAACTGCCATTGACTTAAACAGAGGCTGGATTTTGCCTCATGGTTTTATGCCCATTGGCCCAGCCAATGTGGCTTCTGTTTTGCCTCCCCCAAACTGCTTCAAATTTAAGAGCGTTCAGCTCTGGCTTCCCAGATCCGGCCGCTCCCATTGGCTTCAGTTGGATTTGTGGCTGCTCAGCGCTTCTGAAAACAAGGCCCTTAGAGATCTAGCTGCCCAGTTATGAGTTGAGGAGCCCCACTTTAGGCACCCAGGCTTGAAAACCTCAGCCTAGGACCTCTGGGGCTTTGCTCAGGCCCTCAGCTGCGCCTGCAAAAGGTCAAGACTTTGTGGCAGCACCACAGAGATGGGTGTGAAAGCTGGTGGCGTGGCAGCCGTGAAAGTGATGTGGACTAGAACAGAATGAGGGTGAAAGGCCTGTTTGTTAACAGAGGGGGTCTGTATTAGGCAGAGGGTGTAGCCCCAAAATATCTGAGCCATGAAATCACCTGGATTCATTTAAAGGGTAATATTGATTTTATGCACTTTTAAAAAATGATTGCAGTCTTGATTCTGCCTCTCCTATTGTCACTGGATGAAATTCACACCTTTGCAGAGATCACTGCAAGGCTTAGGGATCATTTATCTCAAGCTTCGGCCTCCAAAATAGGCCTTGAGTAGGACTAAGGTGGTGGGTGGGCCATGTGCTGTTATTTACTCCTTCTCATAACACAGGAACTAGGAGTCACCAAATGAAATTAATAGGCAGCAGGTTTAAAACAAACAAAAGGAAGTATTTTGTCACACAATGCACAGTCAACCTGTGGAACTCTTTGCCAGAGGATGTTGTGAAGGCCAAGACTATAACAGGGTTAAAAAAAGAACTATATAAGTTCATGGAAGATAAGTCCATCAATGGCTCTTAGCCAGGATGGGCAGGGATGGTGTCCCTAGCCTCTGTTTGCCAGAAGCTGGGAATGGGCCACAGAGGATGGATCACTTGATGATTACCCGTTCTTTTCATTCCCTCCAAAGCACCAGGCATTGACCATTGTCGGAAGACAGGATACTGGGCTAAATGGACCTTTGGTCTGACCCAGTGTGGCCATTCGTATGTTCTCTGCACATGCGTGGATTTTACCCCTGGCAAGTTTGTGAACCCCAAATGTTCAAAAATCACAAGTCTGACCCCCATCCCTACAGAAATCTTGAGATTGGCTTAAACATCCCAAGGTTTTAAAAAACCAATGAGAAATGAGGGGTTATTTGTTAGCTGGTTTCTGAGCCTTTGGGATGCCCTCAGGTCACATTTTTCCAGTCTTTCCACAGACAACAGGGCTGGGAACTTATTCTTTTTTTAAAAAAATGAAAGCTGAGATTCTCTCGAATCACATGATTCCTGGTACTGGGGCTTTAAATAAAACATCAGCTATCATGAGACATGTGATAAGATTGTGAGAGTTGACAACATTGCCGTGAATTATAACTTAGGGTCTGATCTAAATCCTGTTGAAAAGAAAATTGGACAGCAATTTGCTTTGGATCAGTCCCTTCTTCACAGTGTGCTCTCTTGATTTCTCATGGAGTAAAGGCCCAATTTGGTCTTGTTTACACTTAAAAGCGTTTGCTATCAGTAAGGTATAGCAGCATAGCTAATCATAGTGGAGATGCAGCTGAGTTCTTTTGCTGGTATAGCTTAAACCAGTTCCCTGAACGGAATAAGCTGTACCAGCAAGGTATTTTTGCTGGCATAATTACATCTACACAAGGGCTGTTACCAGCACAGATACAGTAGAACCTCAGAGTTACGAACACCTCAGGAATGGAGTTTGTTAGTAACTCTGAAAGGTTCGTACCTCTAAACTGACGATTCTCAAACTGTGGGTTGGGACCCCAAAGTGAAGAAAGTTGGCACCTGTGCCAAAATCCCGTGTAACTTACAACCACAATGTAAAGACTACGTTCCTTTTACCTTTTTCACCTTTTCCCAGTTCATCCTGCAGAGTCTCTGAAAGAAGAAGAAAGTCAGTTAGTGCCGATGCCGAGGGGCAGAACTTCAGGGGAAGAGGCGGAGTGGGGGCAGAGTGGAGCCCAGGCCCCACCCCCCACTTCTATGGAGCTTCACTTCCGGTGCTTCAAAGGTAGTGTCTGGCTGGCGTGCCTCCGGAGGGGTGACCTGCACCACATCCACGGCATTTCCACCCTGCATGGCTGGCCTTTTTGGGGAGGCTTAGATTCCCCTGGCCTCTTATACACGCCGCCCAGGATGGCCAATCCCTAGCTCTCAAAAATCATGAGTCACCCTCCCCCCCACAAAAACAATCATGAGATTGGCTTAAAATATTAATACTTTTCTTATTATTTTTCTGTGCTGTCTGGTTTCTGAGACTTTAGGCTACACTCTTGGGCCATGTTCTCAAGCTTTTCTGTGCAACCACATGGTGTAGAAACTTCCTTTTTAAAAACATGACAGCGGAGATTCTCGTGACATAGCCTGACTCTGGGAAGCGGGGGCTTTGAGCACAATCCCAGTGTCAGCAGACTGGTGATAAAAATGAGAAGCGTTGGCAACCTTGGGAAATCCACCTCATTGCTTTCGACTTGAGAAGAGCCTGAATACTCAGCGGAGTCACCCTTAGCTAACAGACTGTTTTGGGGTGTCAATAATAGTGAAAAATCATTGTAAACATTATCATTGCCAGTCGCTTCTTGACTGGCCTTAATGTTTAATGTCTCTCTCAAATTCTGTCCCATGGGTCTGTCTGTAGTCACTAGGGTTACCATATTTAAAAAATAAAAAAAGAGGACACTCCACGGGCCCTGGCCCCGCCCCTTTCCCACCCCCGCCCCC